TACATTATACAAGCGCATCTTCCAGGGCTACATTATACAGGCGCATCTTCCAGGGCTACATTATACAGGCGCATCTTCCAGGGCTACATTCTACTGACTTACCATCTTAGTCCTGTTTATCAGTTCATTATCATATACGGGTATCATATCGAGAAGTTCTTGCATTTCAATGCTGTTCTTATTAACGGACAGTTGTAGTGACTCCTGTAACAAACAAGAGAAATGCACTTAGAGCACTTTTCGTATGACTGTGAGAAGATCACGACACGAACACGGTCGCGACACGGCAAGGCATACCCCCAGATCAATCACATTGCGCGAGAATTTACTCTCCATTCAATCAAATACCCTTACGTAACACGGCATTAACACAGCGCGGACACGCTCACGACGAGGTCAGATCAATCACATTGCGCGAGAAAAAATCAGGCAATTAAAATCCCAGAAAACACCTTGGTCGCGGAGAGGCACGCTTACGGCTTTGGGCTTTTCACAGTCATGTAAAAGCTGCTCTATTAGCCTCTTATCATGAATGGGAGATATGAACCCGCGCTCTTGTAATTTAAGTCAACACGTATTTGTACTTTACTTCGTGAGTAAACGACAGACTTACCTCTAATGCAGCCACTCTATCTTTCTCAATATCGAGGTTCGACGATGCTCTATCCAGCTCATTCTCAAGCTCTTTTATTCTTACTGAAATAAAACATTAGCTTTACATTAGACTGCGTTAGTCTAACAACCTAAGGCGCTTCAAAGCACACTCAATCAAGCAGTCAATTAATTGAAATACTTCTTAAGGTTTTCAGTTATCTCTGTGTGCAGAATAAGCATGTGCTTGTAGTTTAGGATGATTACTTACCGAGTTGATGACACTGCTGCTCATCTAGAAGACTATGTGACCTACAAAACAGTAAAGCCRTCGGTTACTTCATAGTGTGACTAGAACAGCATCAATATGTTATACGTCTATAATAGGGTGCATTTGGACCCTAGCTTGCAAAGGTAAATTTATCTGGGGTTTAGTGTAAATTGATATTAAATYTTTTTTTAGAATAAAAAAAATCTGCTTAAAAAGAATTTTTACCTCGTTATTTCCTCCAGGCGCTCTTCAAGCGACTGTTTCTCTTCAACCTGTAAAAGTAATTACAAGTAAGATAATCATTACCTCCAAAAGGCGTCCACCAAATAATGTCATAAACAAATTTACCTTATAAGAAAGAGTTTTTTCCAGCGAACCTTTTTCGTCCCTAACAAACAAGCAATTTACTTCCATCAGCAAAACACCTGCAGGATATCTTAGCAGGAAATTTCTGCTGTTTTCTCATAAATATTGAATAATAATGATAATAATAATAATGAT